CCCAGAATTCCCCAGCCAGCAAGGCTGGCTGGGGAATTCTGGGAGTTGAAGTTCACCCATCTCAAAGTTGCCAAGGTTGAAGAACCCTGCTCTAAAGCAACATCCATGCGTGGTGGCACTTTGGGGTACTATTTTCTTGTCCTATCTCTCAAAGAATGACAGGCTGAGCCTCATTATTAATTTTATGTTTTATTTATTTGTAATAACACTTCTATACCACCCTGCTTTGAAGCACATTACACTGAAGAATAATAAAACCAACTTGTAAACTTATTGTCACAAATGCAGCCTCTGTACCGAAAGCCCCATTGGAACAGAATGGTCTTAACAGTTTTGCAAAATGTGAGCAAAGTGGGGCCATGCTTTACCTTGGGGGCAAAGTATGCCATAATGAGGAGCTATCAACAAGAAAGAATACCTGTGGGTTCCCATTCTTTTGGCTACATATAGCTCTCAGGGTGAATGTACAGGATGGGTAGATTCTTGCTAAGAGAGATTCTAAACTAAATTAACTGTAGCCAAGCAATGTAAGGCTTAAAAGTTAAAACAACACCTTAGATTGGGCCCAGAAGTCTGTTGGAAACCAGTGGAGCAATCTCAGCATAGCTGAAAGACCACTAAATCTATTTCATCCAATAGTAGTAAGACCCCTGCATTTTCAACCAATTACTACCACCCATTTTCAAGGGGAGCCCCATATAAGCCCCATATACTGCATCTTGCAGTAGTCTAAACATGAGGTACATGATTCAATATTGCAAGGGAGTCCTGAAGGAGAACGTCCTGCAACTGGTGCACCAGCTGATGTTGGGCAATGGTCAGGGCCACCCTACTTTGCTTCTCTCCAGATACAAACGGACAGAGTTCCCTGTTATCCAGTGAAGTTACGTAGCAATGTTGCTGTTCAAAAATGGGGAATTGTTTTACTTCACTATTTTGTTTTAAAGCTCTTTAAAGCATTCAAAATCTGCAGAACCCTTGTTCAGGTTTTGGCAGCTCTTATTAACTAGAACTATGCAATGAAATTCAATGCAGTAAAAAAATATAAATAAAAACATTTAAATCCTCCCAGGTCTTTCCAGTTGTCTTGCTGCCAATCTTCTGTTGAATTTTTAAAGTCCTTCTGAGTTGTGAAGGTCGCAGTTTCACAATAAGGCACTCTCCCAGATATGATTCCTTGTATCTAAATACGGTGGCAGAGTGGCATGTTGCTATGGTGGGTGGAAGGAGGCAGTAACAACTGGCTTGAGCCTAGGGACTAAAAAGAGACAAGAATTTCTGCCAGTGGGAAAACAGACTGGCCATAAGGTCTGTGATCCACTGTTATTCAAAGAAAAACAGCAGCTTTGCACTGGTTTCAGTAAAGCAGAACAGTCCCAGTAATAAATAAATTCATCTCCTCAAAATAGAAGATGTAAAATCAGTCTGGTTCAGAGCTGACCCCAAAATTGTACAAATGGTAATGTCTAAACTTTATACAGCTAGACATAGATTTTCTTGGGATCTAGAACCTTGATTTGAACATAGCTTCAACTACGGGTAAAGTTGTATGTGCTGTGAATTACACATGTAGGCTTTCCCCCACCTAAAGTGAGATTAAGTGAGATTTAATGTGTGGAGGTCATGGACAAAAATGGGTAATTGGTGATACCAGTCATTTTACCCTATTTCTGTTTGAGTAAATAGTCTTCATGTAAATAAACGTTGAATAGGTTTTAGTTATTATTTAGAAAAGTAAGTGTCAATATTATTCAATACCTATATATAGCTTAGTCCTGCTTTTAGTTTTGCTACTAATGAGCTAACTCTACTTTTAATTATGCTTACAGATGAACATGATGACTTTTTCTGGGTCAAAAATCACTGGACAGGAGATTTCTACCAGATCAATTCCCTTTCAGCTCTAACATGGGGTGAAGCAAGAAAAAGCTGTCAGCAACAAAATGCAGAATTATTGAGTATCATGGACCTACATGAACTAGCATATGTAACAGGTATTATGTAACAAAATATTTCTTAAAAGGCTTCTAAAGGCATTCCTGATAATGAATATTTTCTCATCTGTACAAAACAATTTTGAAAGCTTCATATAAGAAATATCATTTTTCCTCCAGAGGAATTAATCTTCTGAAAATATTTGACACTTTCAAACAATCTCACTTTGAAAAATCCACTTCCAAGAACTGAATTTTCTGACATGTTTCCTGTGCCTTTATCAAACTGAAATTTATCAGCTGAATCTGCATTCCAGAGAGGAAAGTTTATTTGATTGATTTGTCATTAATATATAACTATTAAAGGTATAGCTTCAGGCCAAAAGAAAGATGATAGTTGCACTTCAGGTTTAATTGCACTGTGTCTATTTTCTCTTCAGCTTCAGACCTATAGCACTGATCATTATATGAATTTTCTTTCTCAAATAGGATTAACAAATGCTTTCGAAACCAATTACTGGATTGGTCTTAATAATCCGGATATTGGCAGTGGATGGCAGTGGACTAATGACCAACCTTTAAGATATTTAAACTGGGCTCCAGGTGAGTAATTATGTACAGTTAGACAGCCATTGATATTTCATAAACAGAAATGTAGATTTAAGGGTTATTTAGATTAGAATATTTGAAAACTCTTATTATCCTACCCAAAATAGTTCATTTTAAATAGGTTGAGATAGCATTTAGAAACAATACTTTGTAGTCTTCTTGTAATGATTACATATATAATGTATTAAAATATATATTATTTATTTATTTAATTGTTAAATTTGTATGCTGCCCATCTCCCCCAACAGGTGACTCTGGGCAGCTCACAATTAAAATCAAAAACCCATAAACAATTAAAAATACCCCATAAATTTGTATGCTGCCCATCTCCCCCAACAGGTGACTCTGGGCAGCTCACAATTAAAATCAAAAACCCATAAACAATTAAAAATACCCCATAAATTTGTATGCTGCCCATCTCCCCCAACAGGTGACTCTGGGCAGCTCACAATTAAAATCAAAAACCCATAAACAATTAAAAATACCCCATAAATAATTAAAATTAATTAATCCATTAGAAATCAACTGTAAAAACAAACCCTATACAAAACATTCAAGACAATGTGGGGGGGGGCAAAGTCAATTACCCCACAAGCCACCTCCACTGGTGCGAGCCCCCATCTGGCCCCCAGGCTTTCTGGCATAGCCAGGATTTTACACCTTTCTTGAAGGCCATGAGAAGGCACATCACACCTCGGGAGGTAGGTTGTTCCACAGAGCGTGGGCTACAGCAGAAAAGGCCCTCTTCCTAGATCCCACCAGTCGAAATTCCTTGACTGGAGGGGTCTGCAACATGCCCCTTCTGCCAGACCAAGTGGGGCGGGCTGATATAACAGGCTTATATAATAACTGATATAACAAATATATATTATGTATTTGATTTAATCAACACTTTTTCTAGAAGAGTGCTGGCATTTCTTATATCAAGCATACTATATAAAAAAATTATTCTCAATGTACTGCCATCTTCACTTTTTTGATCCCCCTGAAGATGCCCCTGAGGAAACTCTGAAAGGAGCCTCAGTAGCTGTGTTTAGCTAATTGTGGCAATAATTCTCTTGTGTAGGGTTAGTAGGCCTGTGCAAAGTGGCTCCAGTCCACAGTGAAGTGCCATGACAGTTGAGTTGGAAGTTGTGCCTTGACTCAGAAAACTGTTCTGCCTCGGTACAGACTTGACCTGGCTGGCTCCTTTGATCTGGTAAAAAGGGGTCCCTGAAGATCCAGTGCCACTGCAATCCAGTTCACTGAAGAAGAGTGCCATTTTGGTTGACTGTCTTGCTCTGAAGAACTGCACTGAAACTTTGTTGAAATGAAGCACCCTTTCGAGGCTCTACACTGCCCTAATAGTTAGCATTATAACAATAGGAAAAGTGGCACTTATCATATGTCATTATTAGGTACCATAACTCATAAAATCACATAATGGCTAATTGGATAGAATATCCAGTGTCATGCCGAAACACAAAGCACACGGGCAGAGTGGGAGACTTCCCACTGTCAGATATAGGAAAGCTCATACATATTTATTACAGCTGATATGTGTGTTCTTGAAATACAATTGAAGAACAAGGAAGAAAAACAGTTCTGATTTGTTTTCAGATAAAAATGTTGTCATCTTGGACATCAAGCAGTGATAAGTTAATCTGGCTCACTTTCTCTTACAGGTAGCCCATCTTCAGAAACAGGAAAAAACTGTGGATTGATGCAGGCTAAGAATGGCAGATGGATAAATAATATGTGTGAAAAGAAATCTGGATACATTTGTAAAAGAATAAACTCTTCAGTTCAAGCTTCTGCAGCTCCTTCAGGTCAGCTGTAAACTGGAAATTAAGTTAACTGTATAAATATTCTTTCACTGTTATGTATGGCACTCATGACCCAAATAACATTTTTACATTCTTTTCCTAGTGATGATTTTGGTCCCAGAGCAACCTCTGTAGAGTAATGTGAAAGAATAGACCTACCTGAGGTGGAGAATATGCACACACTCTGGTTCTGAATGCACATTACAGTACACAGAAACAATTTTGCTTAGGCCAAAGTGGTCCACTCAGTGGCAAGATGCAAGGTAGCCTAGAAGTCCCATGTACGCACCTACCATTCTAGCCTGGGGTGGGGGGACGGCCCAGAATGGATGTAAATTATAATTTTCAATTATAATTTATAACATTTCCAGATGAGGTTCAGACCAAGTTTGAGCTCTATAGTCGGTAACATAGCTTTCCAATGTTGTTTGATTACTTATTTATGTCAGCTACTCTGAGACTGGCAAGGTGATGCCAGAGTATGCTTAAATAGATAAGCATTGAATGTAATGAATTATGAGCAAAAACAAAATAGATCCTGGCAGAATACTACAAATTCAGACAGAGATTCATGGAATGTTATGAATGTCAAATTCTATGGTAATTCTCATCGTTGTTCTGCTGGTCCCTGAGGAAATAATTGCATTTATTTTAGAAAATTCTAATATGAAATGTGGCTCACCGCTTAGATGAGTTAAAGCCTGAAGACTTGCACAGCTAAAGATAGGTGTGCGTAGGAGAAATCCTTATCTATGAATTATACATGCATTTTTCCCCTCACTGGGGTGGTTTTACGCTTGCTGCCAAGTTTATTTTCAAGAAAGTTTACCCCTTGTAAATTTCTATAAAGTAAGATGGAAGCTTTGAAGGAAAGCAACTATCTGGTAAAAAATAGTTATGACAAAAAAACGTCCTGTAAAAAAAGCAGTAATAATTTCAGAACACTTATAAAATCGTGTAGGATATGAAGAGATGCTACTTTAGAACCTGCCTGATCCATGAAAAATTAGATTGAAAAATAAGATTTGATTACACTAAATCCTGATGACTCTCCTGGCAAATGGCCTCATGACAATGGACAAATTACCCTTATTCTTAAGATGGATTGTCAGATTTGCTTTTACTAAATTCTATTTACTGAATTAATTATTTCATAATACTAGATCAGGATTTCCCCACCCCCACCCCCAATTCTTGATGGTTTACACATAATTATTGTCTTTTTAGATGACCTTAAGCCAATTAAATGTCAAGATGGCTGGGTTGGATATGCAAAACATTGTTACCGTCTTAATAGAGATCGCAAAACGTGGAAGGATGCATCAGCCTCCTGCCAAAAGTATGGTGGACATTTAATAAGTATACACAACATTGAGGAATACAGCTTTGTCTTTTCTCAGCTTGGCTACAGTAAGTATATTTAGAAGGTTTACTTCCTGTTTCACTTGTAATATATATTCTCTGTATGTATGCGTGCCAGGAAAAGAAAGAAATAATTGCTGTGGCTGCCATCACAAGAAAAAAAAAAAAAAAGAGGCCTCAGAATATTTGTAAAAAATCTGTTGAGTCTGTATAGTTTGAATCATACTACAACCATAGTATTCATCCATGACAGATTAGCATAGACATTTGCCAACATATTATGTAGCATACTAACTCTCCTATATCCACACCAACATAGCACAGAGTTCTGGGTTGGAAGATTATATACAACTTCTGGACTTTCTGTCATTAAATTTGAGAGCAAATGAATAAGATGGATTTATGTTCTTAGAACCAACAGATAATCTGTGGATAGGACTAAATGACCAGAAGACTCCTTCATATTTTGAATGGAGTGATGGTACTACAGTGAGATTCATCAAATGGCAGAAAGGAGAACCCACACTTATAACCAACGTGCAAGAAGATTGTGTCGTCATGAGTGGAGAGGTAACAATAAGTACCTTTAATTGTCAGATGGAGATATTTTTTTTCTCTTCAGTTCTCTTTTGGGTGAAATTTGTGTCTACAAATATGTTTGATAAAATCTCTTCTTCCATAACATAATTTGTTCTTTAGATCAGTGTTTCTTAAACTTTTTTCTCTCAGGACCCCTTTCTAGTTTTAAAAATTATGGAGGACCCCAAAAAAGCTTTTATTTGTAGGGGTTATATATATCAATATTTACCATATTAAAAATTAAAATTGATGCATTTGCTATGCTACCACTGAGAGGGGAGAAGTCGCATGGGTGTGATCTGATCCAGAGCCTCAGCAGCCCCCTTATTCCAAGTGGCAACCAAGGCTTTGGACAGACCATGCAGCAGACCAGCAGGAACAACCCCCAGCTCCCTCTGGAACCCATCCGGGTCCATTAGTTGCCAGGGGTGGACCAATCTAATGGGTCCAGCCTCCCTGCAGTGGACAGTAGCACTAGAAAATCCCATGGTAATCAGCGTGTGATCTGACCATGAGAAAAGAGACACCAAGAGCTCCCCCAATTTCAGATCACATAGCCACTGCTCCAACAGAAACACCAGATCCATTGAATGGCCACTATCCTGTGTCGGACTCTGGATGATCTGGAGGATTGCCACTATATAATTAATACTTTGCTTTAAAATGTACTATTGAATTCTAATATATTTACCCAATTTTGTGCAAGTAAAGTCAGAAACAAATTTTCCTGTGTTCAGTTGAATTTCTTTTCAGAAGACTGTGCATAAACTTTTAATCTACATTGACTGAAGAACAAAAGCTTATTTAGGCATCCTAAATTTTGATCAAATGAACTACTGGATATTTATTTGTTGAAAAAAAAATAACAGTACCATTACATTTTATACTTTAGGATCTTGAGGGGATGTCTGTAAATTATATTTTTAAATAATTTAATTTTCCATAGGCTAAAAGCTATGTTTGCTATTGACAACTTAATTTAAATACTTATATCTTTTTGCAAGATGTTAATATGGCTGCAGATTTTACAGAAATGCAGATATAACAAGTATTGTGCAGCAGTCCAGCTCATGAGAAAAATAAAAGCAAAAATTATATAAAACATCATGAGAATTAGAAGGGATAAAAGTAATGGATTCCTTTTCAGTGAGGTTTATATTTCTTCACCTTTCCATCCTCAGAATGGATACTGGGCAGATAATTTCTGTGAAGAGGAACTAGGGTACATTTGTAAAAAAGAGCCTTCAGAATTCCTTCCTGAAACAGATGTTGTTGCTGATCCAAAATGCCCAAAAGTAAGTTTAAAGAATTGTGTAGCTGTTGATATTTTATAATAGTTAATTCTCCTCTTAGGAAAGTTTGGCGATATGAAAGCTGGTTTTGCCTTGAGATGAACATTCCCCCCTCCACAATATTGGATTGGTGTTGACTCTTAGTGACCACATAGATAGATAGATTTTCTCTGCAACATTACAAGAAGTCAGGTTATTCAACTTTACCATATGACAAAAATGAAAAACTATCTGAAGTAATGGGTAAGCAGAAAGGATATATTCTGCTTTAATTTTTATGAATAGGAATGTGTTTGGATTTGGCTGAAGCTGAAGCTGAATAATGCTAGATTTGTGGGACATCCAAATTGAAGCAATGTTTTTACAAAATTAAGCAAATCTGAAGCTGAATCCTTCTGAACTTAGCTAATGTTCTGGAGATTCATAAGAATTCAGGAATTTTAAAAAAAAAGTCTGCAAAGATTTGTATATTTCTGCTCAACCTCTTAATTTAGGGAAAACACCAGAGTTCTGAGAATGTGGAGAAAATGGAGTGGTTCAAGTTTGTGTAGTTTATGCAGATTCTGCACTTATTTGGAAGAATATTGATCATAGAGTTGACTGGAGTTCTCTTCTCTTGCAGGGGCATGAATTTTATAAGAAGTTCAGTGGACCTTTTAGGATCTGAGATATCATATAGATAATTGCTTGGCAAATCCTAGATTTAGAATAATATGGCGCTTTTATTCTAAAATATTATGTATATATTTTCTTTATAACATTTCTGACTTAAATTTTCATTACTAAAAACCATTCCAAAGTATCTAGTTATTTCCAGTAATGATACAGAAGTGGAATGTTGTGAGTTTATGTCTATCAAAATTTATTTCACAGCATCTGTTAGATTCTGGGTTCAAAAAGGTATTATAGAATAGTCAAACTATCACTATGCAGAGACAGACATTCCTAGAGTACAATTATACAACCTAAAATATAAACATAAAATAATTAAAAATTACACTTTCATCAAGATAAACTCAGTGAATCTGAGAGTCTTTGGATTGTGGCAAGATAAAAATGTGAAAAATAAATAAATAAATCCAGGCTAATACTGTTCTGTGTGTATGTATGTTATGTCAACAGGGCTGGAAAAGGTATGGTTTGTATTGTTACTTAATTGGACAGATACCTGGAACGTTTGCAGAGGCAAAGACATCATGTGAAACAAACCAAGGATTTCTGATCACTGTGGAGAACAGGTAAAATATGTTGGAAGGAACAAATCAAAATATTTTAATATCTATCTATCTATCTATCTATCTATCTATCTATCTATCATCATCATCATCATCATCATCATCATCATCATGATATTTACCAGCCAGCTGGAAGATAATTGGACCAACTGTTTGCAGAGTGCTCCTCATTTTTTCTCACCTTATGTAGCAAGGAAAAGAGTAAATAGATTTCCTGCATCTATCTGCTTTTTAAATTAATTTCCTTTAACATAAACTGTGCTGTGAGACCTAGTGAGACAGATTAAAAATATTTTATCTGAGTATAGAAAACATTTTCACATATTTCATTCCTGGATTCTAAACTGTTTGTAAGATTAGTCACTTTTCTGAATTACTGAACGTCTAATTCTGCACTCTAATTTTACATGAGTTCATTTGACCTATCATCTACAGCTTGGTTCTTTTTCTTGAGTTTTATATAGGCTTACTGATTGCTGTTGTGTTTAATGACTATCTCAAAATAAATGTTTTCCAGGATGTATTTTAATGTTAATTCAGCTCTGCAGTGTTTGGTATTCAATCTCCAAAAGGTGCTTCAGAGTGTGTAGGAATGAGGATTGTAGCACTTTCTGCAACACCTGCTCTAAAGCAGTCTGTTTTAAGGTGTTCCATATAGCTATGCTATAATAGTATGCTATGAAGAATCCTCTGGAGCAGTGGATTCTGCTCAATTTGGGATGCATACACCATAGTGGGATCCACATATTGATCCATTGTTGTGCAAGAAGAAAATATAGGATGTCTATTTATATTTAGTTTTTCAAAAATAAAAAATAAAGCTATACTAAGACTTAATATACATAATATACAAAGTATAATATACACTTGGGGTAATGTTTTATAATGTACACAATATATTAGTAAAATAGTACACAGATATAATTTATAAATAAACATAGATATATTGCGGTACATGCTTAATTTTCTACTGATAAGGGTGCATGATCAAAAAGGTTTGGAGACCATTGCTATAGAGCAATGTTTCCCAACCTTGGCAGTTTTAAGATGTGTGGACTTCAACTCCCAGAATTCCCCAGCTGGCTGGCTGGGGAATTCTGGAAGTTGAAGTCTGCACATCTTAAAGCTGCCAAGGTTGGGAAACACTGCTCTAGAGAATGTTGCGGTGCAACTGCAATCTAGGTCTCGAGACAGCTACCATGTGTGGCTTTGTTATTTATGGCAGAGATTGGGCAGGCCCTATCATTGGCCAGATTGGGACAGTCACCTCAGACAGTATTTGCTAAGAGGCCTCAGCAAGATGGAGGCCTGCCCTTATCCTTAAAGTAATCCGACCTTCCGGAGAGCACCACCCTGTAGTCAGCACTGGCAAAGCAGGCCACAGCAGATAAATAGAGAGCAAACCTCATCCCATTTTAGCACTGAAGATGTTA